TCCCGCTGTCGGTGGCTATCACTGCGAGGTTTGCGACGCCGGTATATCCTGAGTTCATACAAAATAGGATAATTTCTTTGTTTTCCATTGATCAAATATTTCAAATGGTCTTAATGGTTTGTTTTTATGAATTTCCTGAAAAAATTCTAACAGAGTATAGTGGTTACGATCTCAATTGGAACCGCATAAAAACATTTGCCTCATAAATTTTACGTAATCCATAGACGTACAGAAAAATTTAGCCCTGTCTCGTCTAGATATACTATATTCCGAGCTATATTACCATACGATTGTCAAGTTTTTTATGTTAAAAACCGCATTGTAATAAATCACGTCGTAAAATATCTAAAGATTTATAATTATAATTAGGATAATCGCTTAATTTATCTCGAATCATGTTTAAAGTAGGAACTTTATTTTCTTTATACATATTATAAATTGTGCGCTGCATTACATCTGGTAAAATAGTCAATTTTGCATTTTTCCGTTTCCTCTTTGTACCGTGATCAATCCTTCTTTAATTATTATTAATAAATTTGCCATTTTTGGATATCTTAGTTAATTCGTTAATCCGTTTCCTAACTTTTTTACCACATTGTTCACTACTTTCAATTTTCAAACATTCATATATATTTAATATCATACGTTGACTTTTTACCTGTAATTCTTTGTTTTTAAACTGAGTTTGTTTCGATACTTTCGACAAAAACCGGTTACACTATTTGGGGATTTTCCCGTATTTCGTTATCCTCCGCTCCAAAGAGTCTCCAGAGAGCCACGCTAAATTACTAGATAATTGCATATAACATTTATTTTAATAACACCCTTTACTGGTTACGATATGAACAAATAATAATATCAACTAATAAATAATAATACGTCCTATACCAACAAAATACCCCGCCAAGCAATGCTCTGCACGGCACTGGCAAAGCGGCAAAGCTAAGTGAACCCGTGTACCATACAAAAAAATTATTTACGATCTAGTGTACCAATACAGGTAAGCTTTGATGACCAGCATGCCGCCTTCAATTTTACATTAGGTGGACTAGTTTACCAATACTGGACTCGCAGAATTGCTATTCAAGTATAAATTATGAGACACACCATGGTCAAAGCATAAGAAAAAATTTCAGGAGAAGTGCGTACGGTCCTGTGCTTTAAAATTTACAGGTTCCAACTAACATCGTAACAACTATACACATTTAGCTATCAATAGAAAATGATAAATAACAACATAGGTACTTAAGTATCTTCTTATTTGATTTCCCAATTATCTAAAAACCAGTAAATTTTACGAATACTTTACAAGAATACTTTATTGCCACAAATTGATTGTACTTTTCAAAAACATTTAAAATCATTTAAAAAACCACTGGCGGACAATTTTTTTTCAAAAAAGTTCCCTACTCCCCAGTTATCCATGAAAAAATAGTCTACTAAAAAAATGTCATTCCCCAAATTTTATCACTAAATATTTTTTGCCAGTGAAGTTACAGGAAAAATCATATAAATATTTGAAACTTTTAACACCCTGTATCTCCGTAGGGAAGCGTCCTATCAAAAATTTTTATTGGGCAAAAGTTGATTATTTTCATCGGTAGAATACGCCATTAAAGTTTGGCAAAACTTATCATTAACACCCTGTATCTTTGTTTTTGATGTATGATCTATTATTTTTTCTAAATATTCTTTGCTATACTACATTTTTGTTCCTTTCTATAAGCATATATCTTTGATTTTATTTTAACTAACTAAAGTTCATTTCATGCATAATACACAGTAAAACTCCTTAGGACAATCTAGGCAAATTTAATTTTCTTCATTTGTAACAAAATCTGTTAATCCTCCTAGCAACTATCCTCCTGATAAACATTGTTTATCATACAACGTTCTTAACCGATTAGCACTTGCATGCAATTCCATTTTTAAAAACACACTGGAATAATTAAAATGTGAAAATAACACAATTTTCGCACTTGCACACATATGACACAAAAGGAAACGACTAACTTGGATACTGACTCATCCAGAAATGAAAATGCAGCACTGGTCATGTCTCTTTTTTGTAAACGATAAGCAAAGACACAAATGGGCACTTGTAACTATAGAACGTTGCAAAATTCTTGTGTGTAAGCTGGATATATCATCGGAACACTATGCGAAATGAACAGCACATTACAGTTTCATTGTGGAGAATACACAAAATTATTTTATCAGATTAGAAACATAAAAATTGTGGTTTTATTTTATTATGTATGATACTTACTGCCTATTTTGGAATTTAGGTATAAGAGATTTTATTATGATCGAGACAAGCTTTTATTACGCCATTCCATTTTAAACAGATTATAGGATATTTGTAGGAGCAGTAAACAAAAAATCGGCATATTGAAGAATAAAAATGAGTGTTCATCATTTATATTTTTTACAAATATTATTAAAATTGATAATCCTCAATTTTTTTGCAAATCAATTATATATGATTTAGGGAATATACCTATAGAATTTACTTGTATAAATAATTTTGTTAGTTGCGACAAACTAAATGTAAACACTTGAAGCAGAATCAACATAGATGTTCGAACGAGTACAATATGTGCTTTACGCAATATTATTCTACCATCCGGGTGTTGTATTCGCCAGCCTCCTAATTCGGCGGGTATTTCTATCTTGATCCCTAATCTTCTTTTCCATTTCGGCGTCAGTAAGGGTTTCCAGGAAAGGGGCCCACTGATCCGATTCACTGGGTGTCCTGAAAGGTACCTCCACAGTGGGAAGTGGAGCTTCACTAAAAGCATAAGTTCTCTGATGCCAAGAGAGCTGTCCACGAATGGAATAGGCAATTGCCGTGACAAATTCCCCGCCTAACCCCAATTCCGCACAAAGTTTCAAGGCAAAATCTTCTGGATTGTTCTGCTTTTCGCTCATATCCCACTCTACCTGGCAATATGAATTAAAATTATCAAATGACAGCCGATTTTTATAAAAAAATAAACAATTTGGCAAGATAGTGCACTACATAGCTTTGTTTTGGACTATACAGGGTGTAACTATGAGTGGGGGTTAGTTTTTTAGGGGCAATAGTAGTTTTCCCCTGAATACAAATCTGAACTTTTATTTTTTTTTAATCAAATAATTAGTTTTTTAAACTTCACTTTAATTCTTACATCGCCACTACATTGTTTTAATATGACAAAGTGTCACTTTAGAGTCAACATATTTTTTTTTAAATTGTTTTCAAAAAATTAAAAATTTCAACATGGTTTATTAAGTATTTACCAATATTGGTTACTAATTGTAAATAAAAAGAAATTGTTTTATAATAATTATTTTTGTTTTAAAAATCGAAATAAATAAAAATACCTACTACTTAAAGTCTACTTTTTGTCAGGTGCAAAGAAGACAATATCAGAAAGATTATCATAAGTACCGAATAAGAAAATGTTTGTAAGATTGGTTCAACATTTAAGAGATGACGGGAGTTTTGAACACCAATGCGCTAATGTTGGATGTGTACAAAATCAGAGTGTGAGAACCAGAAATTTTAAAAGCCGTGGAAGAGGATCCTGATACCAGTAAGTACTTGACGATTAGCCACAAAATTACAAGTATGTCATATGCTGTAAAAATCAGGTCAATAAACACTTTACTTACTTATTTTTGTGTATTTCATATATCATTACTGATTACAGCTTGAGTTTTCTCTTAAATTACTTAAGTATTAGGTGCTAATTAGTAGCTTATTTAAAAGAATTACTTTTTCATTTCTGTGGGATGATAGGGCTCCAGACAATTACCCACTCAACAAATTTGCTTTTTAGTAACTATTCGTTTAACCCTTTTGCTGCACAATATGTCTGAACGTAGCTACCGCGCCGTGTGGGATAGTTTATCGCGTGCGAACATATACGTATGGAGCAGTTAGACCACTTATAGTTTTAGAGGTGTTTTAATATCTCATGAGCCGCAAAATGCGTGAAAGGCGTGGCGCATCCGCATAATTCTTCCAATATGCACGTTGTGAAAACATTGACTCAGAATTAGACCACGTGCCTCATTACAACCAGAAATGAACTAAGGCGCTCGGGCATCAATAAAGTCAACTGGCGAACGTTTGTTATATTTATTTTTATTGCTTAAATTAAAATAATAAAGAATAGGGCACTTTATTATTATATTTGTAATCGGATCAAAGGCTTTTTACGCTACGAAAGCTAGAGATAGACTGTGAATAATAGATGTAATGTTTTTAGGACGTAGAATAATTTAGGTGACGGTCGGAATTATGTTTCTGCGCATATGAAGGTCAAAGCTCATAAGATTTTAAAACACCTGTACATTATGTTGTGTTAAATTACGATTTACAATCAATTTTACGATTTTATTTTAAATAATATACAGTATATCGACAGCTATACTAAATAGAAACTGAAAGAGAGATGAACAATCTTGGCATTATTACCAGTACCTCTTTCCATAAAAATATTTGTCACAATCTCTATAAGCTCTGCCCGCAAAAATTCCTCATACCAATCGCAACTAATGCGCATGGTTGCGAATATATACGGTTTGAGCAGCCTGATCCAATTTAACTATTCAAGCAAATTAATCCGTCTGGAGCAGTTTGAGCCCTATACATTTTTAGCGAATAAATACGTCTGGAGCAGTGAAAGGGTTAAATCATGAGATTTGACAACAATGCCCTGTTCCCAATTGTGCATGGGCTGCGACTAAAGCGCTCTGTTGTTTGAATTTGGGTATGAAAAGGTTGAAAGAAAAATTAAGTTTTCACAANATTATTATTATTATTTTTCAAATGTTCCATTGTCTATATCCACATGGCAACCTCCTATATTTAAATCTGGTCAAACTTTGGGGATTGGTTGTCCTTCATTTATCCATGGCTATAATGAAGGCGTCTCATAGTCACCGCCCGTTTCGCCCTTCCATAAATAAGATTCACTTCCACTTGTAATTCAGCGACCGGTAGTCATCTTTGTTTTCGTCGTTTGGCTTTTCTTTAATAGATATCACTACTTATATAATTTCGACTTTGACATGTTAATACCATTCGTTAACAGAGGGCAGCACAACGCGTAACAAAGAAAACTTTTTACACTAGCTAGTAGATACCTCTGTTTGTAAATCTAGTGACCTTGTTTCTCCTACTGAGAAGTTATTCAAATGGAGTATAGTGCTCAGCTGTATTTAAAGTTCATTTAGTTGTTATTTAAAAATACGTTTTAAAATGACTTAAAAATCCCAAGAAATAAAGCAAAATTCCCCATTTCCCCAATTCCAAAAAAATATGTAGATCTGGCATTACTTTTTCTGCTCTCTGTTAACGGATTGTATTAACATATCGGAATACGAAGTCGGAATTGTATAAGTAGTGACATCTATTACAGAAAAGGCAAACGACGAAAACAAAGATGACCACCGGTCGCTGAATTACAAGTGGAAATGGATCTTATTTGTGGATGAACCATGGGGACTTTCCGACCCTGTATATATAAAGTTTTGCATTGTTTGCTGACGCCTCAAGAAAGCAACCAACAATACAGCCGTTGTACCTTGACCATTTGAAATTTGCGACAATTGTACACCGTACAATTTTATACAAACCTTTCGCTTCTCTCAACCTCAGCTCTCCCGAAGGCGTTATGAAAAACATAGACGCATTTTCCCCGGTCAGGGTGAGAATCAG